GAGCCCCCCCTGCGGCAGCTCCCAGCCCTGCGGTGCCCCCCCGCGGCAGCTCCCCACCCCCTCTCCGCCCGGGGAGCCCCCCCACGGCAGCTCCCTGCGCCGCCCTATGGCAGCCCCTCTGCCACTTGGTGCCCTAGGCGGCTGCCTAGTTCGCCTAGTGGTTGCACCGGCCCTGTTTCTGGAGATTCATAACGGTGGTGATGGTAGGGTTGCTGGTTTAACTTGATGGAGCATTTCACCTGTACAATAGATCAGTGAATCAAATGCACCTCAGGTCAGTAGTGGGTAGTTACCAGTGGTAGTTACCAACTGATGGCTCTCCAGGAGCATGAATAAAAATTAGAATAAAAATAAAATAAAATAAAACAAAACATATTTTTAAAATTTAAATCAGTTTTCTTTTTGAAAACAAACATGTTTAAAATTAAATTTGAATTTATGATAGGCTATGTTAAGGCTTGTAACAAGGCCAGCTGCCTCCTGAGTGCCCCCTCATGGCTGGAGGTCATTCTGCAACACCCCACCACTGTTTCTCCTCTCTTTGAGGCCCCTTAAGAACAGCACATGGGTTTCTCTGAGTTACCACCAACCATGCCCGCTTTAATTGAAACAGTTCACAACAATCAGAGTCCCAAAATGACATTCATCAACCGAACAGAAAAGTTTATACTTAGCTGTGGCATGTTCTATCACCACCAGAGCTCTTCTTCTGTCCCAATCTGTTCTCCCCTCCCTGCTCAGCCTTCCGGTTCTGGCCTCCAAGCCCAGATCCAATCAGGGTTTCCCACAGAAGGCTCCTAACTCCCCTGACGTCAGGCATTTCCTGCAGACCCTTTCACTTCCTGCAGTTTCCTGATCCCCCACCCCCAAGAGCTTTTTATGGGGAAATCACATGATTTCTCAGCTGTGGCTCATTCAGTAATCAGAGTGTGCTCACCCCAGACCCTCCAGCCCATAACAGGCAAGCCACACCTTACAAGGCTGAAACATACTAGAATCTACTAAAATAATTAAAAAAATATATATGCTGAACCAATGAGCCCTCCTTATATACCGTGAGGACTGAGTCCAAGATTTTGTTTTATATATAGAATCAATTTAGGGGGCAAAACATCTTTAACAAACTTTTGAACGCCAGCTGTATAAATATGGCACAACATGCCATGTACTGCATTAAGTTTTTATATTATTTTCAGTCTTTAGAACGGAGTGAACTCTGGTAATTTACTTATTTCCAGTTGTTAGTAGTTTCAACCTGTTGTGCACAAAAGATCTGCAGAAACACTTTTAGTTTCACTTTTTTTCTTATGTAATCTACACACTTAAAGTAGTTTTATTTAACTAATTAAAACAATTTTTAAATGCTGACTGATTTGTGCATTTTTTAATTCAATTCCAATTTCCATCCAAAAGCAGCTTGATAGAAATCATGGGTAAAAAGTTACCTGATAAATAAGAAACACATTTTCTAACAATGAAAAAAATGGAGTAATTAAGAATCAAAATATAGAAAGAATAGTCAGATTCTTAATTTCTGAAGGATGGCTTACATAGATGGTTAAATCAATGTGCAGGCACCTTACAAATTTTTGCCCTGCCAGAATCCGGCAAAGTCTCTCCACTCCACTCACCATTCTCACAGGAGGGGAGAGGATGCAAAGAGCCCATCAGCTCAGCGAGGCTCCACTCCCTCCTCCCCTCCTGTGAGCAACACAGACAGAACTGTGCCTCTGCTCCTTGCCCTCCCCCTGCCGCCTCCAACCTGGGAAGAGATAGAGGGGGGTGAAGAGCCACTGGAGCTGCGCCCCTCACCCTGGAAAGGGGAGAGGGAACCCCTTTGCTGTTGGCCTACATCTGGAAGAATTAGGGTCAAGAACCCTAGGTGCGACTGAAGTGAGGCTGGGATGAACTGATGGGGAATGTGGGCTGGGTGCGGACTGAACTTTTGGAGGGGGCTGGGGCACAGGATTAATTGCTGGGCAGGTGAAGGGTCAAAATCCATGTGCTGCTTATATAACATACTGGTATATGGATTGTGTCAGCTCTTTTACAGGCCCCAAAAGTCCAGAGTTTGGTCAAGAGACCAGAGGTCTAGCAAATAGTGATTAGCTAAGAGAAAGCAGAATAAACAAAAGATAACCTTGCTCTTGCTAAGATAAGCCTGGTCAGCAAAATTGCCAGATGTTGGAGCAATAATTGTGTCTTATTCAAAGTTGCAAAAACAGAACAAAGAAGCCCTGTTTCTGTTGTGTTTGTTTCTTCTGTAGGGAAATGTTCTTCCCACACGCCAACCTTGAGTTTATGAAAGGTTCAAGCATGTCAGCATAAGATATGGCCTCCTCCCACCTCCCTTTCCCAGGGACCAATGCCTGCCTTAAAATTAGCAACTTGAAAGACAATCTTTATTGCCATATACTTTCACTGTTTCTTTGCTTTAACCCCTAGGTATGTACCAGTTGGACAATCAGAGGAGCCACTTCATTCCTATGAACCCCAAATCAGAATTCAACGTATATATATTTTATACTAATACATTTTATTAAAGTACTAATTAAATGTTAACCTGAAACCATGGGCGGAGACATTATGTAACCTTTGACTATTGGCTACTGTTTTGTTCGGAGTTATGAATATTTCAGAGTTACAAACAACATCCATTCCTGAGGTGTTCATAACTTTGAAGTTCTACTGTATTTTCCAAGGTGGCAGAATATCCCAGTCAGAATGTCTCATTGCCACTAGAGTCCTGACCCTGGAGTCTTGTTTTAGAATTGCCGTTGTTTAGTCTGGTGTGGCTTTCTTGTAAAGGGGAGAGTATTTTGATTGTGGACAGATGAATATTCTGCAATTCCAGAAATACATTTTGCCACAGTCAGTTGTTCTGGCTCCATGTGGAAAATAATCTTACAAACAACAAAGAAAGCCATGACAACAATCCTCACAGTGACGTATGGTGTAATTAAGTTAGTCAAATCCGCCCCGCCCCGCCCCGCCCTGTCCAAAGATAAACATTGAACAACACAAAAGTAAGAGTATTTGTGGACTGTTCTTGGTTTAATAATACACTATATCCATACTGCTCTCTACTTGTACTTTAGAGTTATTTTTAAAAGAAGAATTACGAATGCAGGATTACTCATGCATCTGCCAGTATCAGCTAGTAGCCCTCTGTCTGTCTGCATCATACAAGGAAAGGTTTGCAGCCATTCTTTCAGTGCATTCATTCATAATTTTATATGGCTTCTCTCCCATGTCCAAAATCTGAAAAAAAATCAGTTCTGAAATGCCACTGTGATGCATTACGTGAGTTGCAGTTTGGTTCCCTCCTGCTTCTGTTTTCTTGGATGGGCCAGGCTCCCCAACTGGCCTTCATTTCCCATGATGCATTGGAGCCATGCAACTGCATGAAGCACTGCCTCCCTTTACTAAGAGGAGAGACTGTGGTGCCTAATGGGAAATGTAGTCCAGTCAGGGAACCAAGCCTGTAGAGAGAACGGGAGCATGAAACACCTGAACGACAATTTCTATGAGACTTGAGGTTGGCAAATTAAATATTTTGTTTTTTGGCCAGAACATTTCAGTTTTCAGTTTTCACTGAAAACTCTAAATTTTCCATTGAAAGAACCCTCCATTTTCTGACCATCTGTATGTCTCAGTAACTTGCTCCTGATTTTTGTCTGTACATGAGAGAGAATATGTATGAGCACTGAATATCATTCAAAAGCTGCAGTTCTCAAATTGTGGAGCCTTGGCTGGTGGACCACAGCATTCAACTTTTTGATAAATACACACCTGTAGTATTAGAAGAGGAATGATCTGCAGAATGAGAGAGCTGGAAAACCTCAGGCTATGTTACTTATGACAATTTGAAACATCTTGCTCAATTTCTCTCTCTGTGAGTAGCACAGATAGGATAAAAATTACAAGGCTATAAAGTCTCATGTCATTTCAGGACATAAACTGATCAGCAGCTGGAGTTAAGAGGATTTCTCCCCTCCTCCCCAATGTTACACTGTGGATTTTTAACACCTCTCTCTGGAGAATCCAGCACTGACCACTCTCAGTGACAGGATAGTACAAAAGATGGCTGAAAAATTGTCAATGGAACAGTTTTCTGACGGAAAAGGTCAAATCATATAGCTAGTAAATGCAGCTCAGAAATTTAGAGAGAAGATAATGGGAAGTGATCACTTCCCTACGCTTACTGAGTGCCAAGGCTGAGAAAATATTGAAATTACCAAAGAGTCCTAGCTGGAATTTTCTAAAAACTGACCAGGACCTTTCCTAGAGTAAATGTGATAAATATTTATGTATCAGAGGGGTAGCCGTGTTAGTCTGAATCTTACCCACGAAAGCTTATGCTCCCAATGCTTCTGTTAGTCTTAAAGGTGCCACAGGACACTCTGTTGCTTTTTAAATATTTATGTAGTAACTGTACAGGTGACAACCTAGGATAATTCTATAACAATGTAATAAAAGGAATTACAGCAGCAGTTGATCGGTCCATCTACAAAACATCAAATTGCCCTAGACCTGGG